GGCCGCCTTGCAAGGACAGACCGAAGGAAAAGGGCGACAAGGCAAAGACCTGCAGGAGGGGGCGTGCCGAACGTGGCGCACGTGCGAGCGGGAAGGACAAAGGCAGGGCGCCACGGCAGGTGCGTGGGCCGACGACAGCGTGGGTGGCCAGCGACGCACGACGCGTGTGAAGACAAGGCGTGGCCTGCACAGAAGCCGGCCACACCAACGGCCCTAGCCCGCACCGCGAGCGGGAAGCAAACACACACACACACACACACACACACACAGTTTTTGGCGATCGCGGCGTCGCGCGCAACGACCATGCGGAAACACTCGGTCAAAGAGCGAACTAAGAGCGCGCGCAGCCAGCCCCAGAAGATGGGGCAGGGATCCACAAGGATCAACCATGCCATGCGCATACCCGAGCACGGGCAGCGGGGGGGGAGGAACAGACAGCAGCGAACGTGGGGTGGAAGTGGAGGCGCACTGCAGCCGAGACAGCAGAGGCAAGACGACAAGTGCTGGGGACAAGGTGACAGGCACAGGCAAACACATCAAGGCGACAGCCGCGCCCTGGGTATACACCACACCCACTCACACACGATTCCTTCCACCGGCCAAATGACGCCATCACAGCGAGTGATAGCAGGAGCACAAACTGCAACGTCCACTTGCACACATGCTTTCCTCCAACGGCCAAGCGACGTCACTACAGCGAGAGCTGAAGCAGGGCACACTGAGCGTCAATTCCACCTGGCGTTGCTGATGGAGGGACTATGCAGGGCGAGCCGCGTGCAAAATGCGAAATCCAATTCTACCAGGCAGACCGGGTGGGTGGCTGCGCTAGGCGAGCACACGTGCAAAAAAACACCCCGCCTAGTGGGAGCACAGGCGAAGCTGGCACATGCACGTCCTGGAGGAGAGCATAATGACTAGGAGAACTTGGAACGTCGGGTAATCCGCCAGTCGCGTCTGCGCTATCGGCGCCCTCCGAACGCCAGGCGCGAGCATCTCCGAGACTAGCAGGAGGAAGAAGAAGAAGAAGAAGAAGAAGAAGAACAAGAAGGGGGCGGAAGACGACGAGGCGAAGTCAAGGACGAGGAGAGGGGCGGCGAGCGGTCGTCCTCGCCAAATGGCCTGCGACCGTCAGGCCTCGTCTCTCGTCTGACCACGCCCCCAAGTCAAACTGCACACACACACACACACACACACACACACACATGCACCTCTCCCAACAAACTGACGGCACCATCGCCAGACCTTGCAGGTGGTGATAACAAAACACTGACGTCTGGGGAGGGGGGGGCAGAGGCGTCGACGACTCCAAAGGGTGGAGCACCCTGGGCCCCTGGGGGGCGGGTGGGGACCTCGGCGGAGCTCTCTCCAGCGAGCCCCGAGGAGGCCCGAGATGAAGACAGTGCCGTGCCCCCCCGGCCGCAACGGCGCCGACCGCAGACCACACCCCGGGGCGCACCTGCACCCGTTGTAGCCGCCGACGGTGGGCGGACGCAAAGCGTATACCGTACACCGACTCCAGGCTGGGCCGGGCCCGTCCCGAGCCCGTGAATCGGCGCGGGCGCCCTTTCTCCCGGAGTTCCGATGCGGCCAGGGAGGGCGTAAGCTCCAGTCCCTGGCCCAGGATCGGCCTAGCCAGGATCGGCGCTCGTGCATAGTTCATCGGCTCCCCCTCCCTGAGAAGCGACGAGGGAGCAGGGGGGAGGGGAACCCCTGGACAGAACAACCCAGAAACCCCGAGGGCATCCCTTCCCTCCCTCCCTCCTCCCTCCTCCCTCCTCCCTCCTCCCTCCTCCTCCTCCTCCTCCTCCTCCTCCTCCTCCTCCTCCTCCTCCTCCTCCTCCTCCTCCTCCTCCTCCTCCTCCTCCTGCCTTTCCCTGCCTCCCTCCTTCCTCCTCCCTCCCTCCCCCTCCCCCTCCCCTCCCCTCCATCCCTCCGCCCCCCCCTCATCCATCCATCCATCCATCTATCCATCCATGATTCCATCCATCCTTCCATCCGTCCATGCCCATCCCCCTCCCCTCCCCACTCCCCCTCCTCCTCGAGCTCCTCATCCTCCCCTCCCCCCCTCCTCTCCTCCTCATCCTTCTCCTCCTCCTCCGCCTTTCCTCATCATCCTCCTCCTCATCCTCCTCCTCCTCGTCCTCGCCCTCCTCCTCCTCCCGCTCCTCCTTGTCCTCCTCGTCCTCCTCCTCCTCCTCCTCCCCTCCTCCTCCTCCTCCTCCTCCCTCCCTCCTTCCCTCGAACGCCACTGAGCGCACCAGTCCGCCCTCCCTCCCTCCCACCCTCCCTCCCTCCCTCCCTCCTCCTCCTCCATCCACCATCCATTCATCGTCCGTCCGTCCGTCCGTCCATGCCCACCCCCTCCCCACAAAGCTCCTCCTCCTCCTCCTCCTCCCCCCCTCCTCCTTCCCCCTCCTCGTCCTCCTCCTCCTCCTCGTCCTCCTCTTCCTCGTCCTCCTCCTCCTCCTCCTCCTCGAGGGAAGGGGGGGGGGCCTGCAGG